GCAACCATTACATGAATAGATTGGAGTTATCAAAACTCTATGATAAGAACAACAAAACTTGAAAACAGTAAACATTATGGAAGATAAATCTTTGAGATATAGCGACTGCGAATCCAAACACATCGGATGCATCAACAAAACATTCATGGCAAAGCCGGAAAGTTGAGAGATAGTCACTTCAGCTTGTGACGTTGAAAGACAATCTACACCTCGGAAACTCATCAAGACGAGTCCGGTTGCATCTTCAGGTCCCGTGGAGACCGCTACACAAGATGGCAATACAGTTAAAATTTGACAATTTGTTCTCGGTTCTAAAACCGCATAAAATTCTCCTCGCAAAGAGAGGGATGATAAGAATGATCTCTCCCATAGGGAGCAAGTTGATCTCTGCATAACAACGGAGGAAGGTTGAAGACAATACAACTTGGATGATATAGCGTTGAATAGAGCATTTGTATTGCTTAAAAGGCATTTCCATAAGGGACTACCCACTATAAAAACATCATCGGGAGAGTTCCCGGAAGAAGGCTCGTCGGAAACGTAGCTTGGACAAGTCACATGGACGGTGAAGCTAGGAGAAGACGGCCATAGGAAAAGCTTGATCTTCTGATATCTTACCGGAGCCAAGGCTTTTATCGATGAGACTGATTTCAGAGCATACAGTGAAGGAACTAGCGGATGAAAACCACACGGAGGGGATTTGAATCCCGACGAATGGTGGAATGAAACACGGTGAAGAGGAAGTGGTCTCTCCACGCTCGATGTGGAGAAAATAGATTTTAATAAGCTCGGCAATGACATGCCCAAATCGGCAAGAGTGGCGGTACAACAATGAAGGTGTGAATCGAGAGAGATTAACCAAGAGAGAGGCGGCGGATCCGGTGGGATAGGCGGATCTGGAGGCTCCACCGGTACCGGACAAAGTACTATTCGTAGGTGAGAGGAAGTCGCGGTCAAGACCAAAGATCTTGGCGAGGGATTCGAGAGCACAACCCTAGGATAAAATCGATCGACGAGCCAGGAGAATCCAGAAAGAATCCGAGAGGTTTGATGAAGAGGCTCGCCGGCAACAGAACTCCGGCTGAAATTCGAGTACCCGAGACGAAGAAGCAGCGCTGCTTCAAGAGGAGAGGAGAGTTTGGTCGGAGGGGCGTAGTCGGAGGGTAACCATCTTGGCTCGGAACTGCTGCGGCGGCTCCTTGGTTATTGTGCATGGGAGAGAAAACCTAGGGCGAACTGTTAAAACACTTCATTTGCAGACTTTTACAATGAAAGAAAACAGAGGGAGAACAGAGAGACTTTTTACGCCTCTGTTTTACTTTATATATCAGTAACAAATGGAAATTTTCTTCCCTCTCTTTCCAACAGAAACAACGCTCTGGTGGAAAAGACTATAATATCCTTTGAATCTTTGAGCATAAGACCAAAATTAGCACTCCATAAATCTTTCTAAAAAGATGGATCTTCCATTTAATTTAAATTTTCTTTGAAAAACTTATAACACATTCCTCTAACTGTACCAAAATATAATCTTTGAAGTTTGAAATACTCTATTTTAAATTGCCAAGATACTAAAAATGTTGGCAATTCATCAGAAACAAAAATATGACGTCTTGCCAAAATTTAGTAATTGCAGATTGACATCATTTGAGCTTATTAACAAAACTTCTGAAAGCAAAAAAATTCTAAAAATAAATTTATTTCTTTTGTTAAATAGAGAAGTCCAAACTCATATTTTTTTCGTTTTTGACGGCTCCAAAGGCTCTTCTAGTGTTACTAATTCAGTTTAAATT